ACATGGATGTGTTCCTCAGTGGGCTCGTTCCTACAGCCAGAGGAGGAGCTGAGAGGTTCAGCAGACTATTGGCCCTTGATGGTTTTTGGAAAAGTCCTGTGCTGACCACTCTGTGAGATTTGTGGATAATTTTTATCTCTTTTGGGAGAGAAAACATGTGTTCAAGTCTGATGGACTGTCTTTGAACCGACATGGATCGGAGCTGTTAGCTTCAAACATGAAGTATTTCCTGAACCAAGTTCCAGCTGGAACCAAACAACAGGAGAGTGATCAGCTGACGTCTGAGGCTGAAGGACAACAGGAGCAAACTGAGACATCGATGAAAAACAACGTGCAAGTGGTTGATAAGGAGACTGAACCAGAACCACAGACAGGGGAGTTACTTCAAACTGCTGAACTGGAAGAACATCTGGATTCATCAGCATCACAGAGGAACCAGAAAATGTGTTCCCCCAACCTGCAACTGAAGAAAAACTGACCACTACCTCTTCTCCACCAGAGAACACCAAACCATCAACTGAGAACAGAGGATGGGATGAAATTGAAGACACTGTTAAACAAGAAAATGAGCATTTGGATTATTGCACAAAGCTACAGATTTTCTGGGCAAAGAATAAAAACAAATGGACAGAGAAGAAGAAACAAGAGCGTAAAGAAAGCATTTTCAGTCTTAATTCTGTGGAAGGAGAGGAGAAGTTTCAAGAGTGGAAAAAGTTACAAGATTGGTCACACTGAATTGAATATTTTTATGTCTGGGAGGATTAAAAATATAATTTCTGGGGTTGGGAAATGTTTAGAAATATCCTGATGTGACAACAGATGTTATAACTTCTCTTTATAAAGTTTTCATAAAATTTCCTTATAGATTTGACATATTTTATGTATGTCAAGAGAGGGATTGAAGGTAATTTTGTAACTGATAAAATGAATATTAGATTCAGTATTGTATTTTATACTTTCTGATCCTTTCAGTCTGTAAGGTTAAAGCTGACAAAGATTTGGTGTCTTATCATGTGTTCTTTCCTTTTAGTCTAAACAAAATGAGTGACGTTCTGACGTCTGACATAAAAGGTAACACCTCCAGGGGTGTAACCAGGAAGAAAGATACATTATAAGCTCAATTCATTATTACAGTAAGAGGAAGTTGTCAGTGTTTTGCAGAATGTCTGCTCAGAGCAGAGCTCTTGTCTGTTTGTTTTGAAGGTCTGACTGAGGCGTGTGTGCTGGGTGCTGTACTGTGAACCTGATTGGAGTCTAGAAGATTAAAAATAAAGTTTTAAAGAAGAAATCCAGCGGATTCCTGTTTTATTAGGACATACCATTTTGAATAACACATATTTTCCCTACAGAACCTCTTTGAACATCTGGGAAAAAAAGAGCTGAATTTGAATGAAGCAAAACAACTAAAACATTGTGACAGGGAGAACAAAACTCTATAAATGTAAATGGTACAAATTAGAAATAAGTTAGAGAAGCATTTTGTTATTACAACCATATAAAACGTTGTAGCACCCTTGATAATAAGTATTTTCATCTCAAACAGGTGGGCTGAGGTGGAAATTCAGCTTGGTTTGATTGATTTGATTTATTTATTTATTTAACAGGAAAAGATTACTAAAAATCAAGCCTGACTCA